TGTATCGTTCCAATTTTATCGGATGATCCCTTCGTAGGGATAATGACCCAAAGGATTATATAGAGTTTGGGGTTTTGGGATGTTAAGTGCTTTGGCTCTACGAAAGTACATTGGGGGCCTGGTTGTGGAGGCACAATTGGTTGGCCTCAATTTTTGAACTAGGCTTGGGGTCGTGATACGCGTAGGTACCATGGCACCTAAACAATGGGAACAAGGGCTTCACTTAGGTTTCTGTTGGAGTTGGGGCACACTCTTGCAGCACCTGAATTTGCCCCGTCGTCTGCAAGAGCTTACCACGCAGAAGCGGGCTGTTAGAGTGTTGCGCACCTTCACCACCCGCAAATCCAATCCGTCGGTGTCGTTTAAAGCCAATCGCAATGATCCGTCAACGTTTTTACACCTCAGACAAGCCAAAGTCTTCAGCGGACAGACCTATTGCATCGCAGCTGCTGCATACGAGATCATGTCTGGCTGGATTCCGCCCCCTGCGTCGTTGGGAGTATATAGGACTGGAGATTGTAGTAAGGGGAGGGATATTTGTGGCCACTTCTTCCAACCTGGCCATGATCCTGTAGTAGCACTGTAGCATGCATATACTTAACTGCTTCGTTCGTATAACCGTCTTCAATGGGTCTCCAACTGCTGCATGTTTGAGTTGACTCAGCTCGAAGCAATGATGTTACAGATGCAGCCTGAATGCATCATAAGTACCAAGACTCTTTTGGGGTTCCTTAATATATATATATATACATGTATATATATATATACATATATACAGAAAGCGTCGCACTGCAGGCCCGAGTTTTGAAGCTTTCTGTTTTTCCAGACTATAGGCTAGGATCTTACGAAAGTCTTGCATCTATTTGCTTCTATGCATACAAGATAAGTTCGCGAACAAAGACATCTGTTGTCTGATCTGAAAGCTCCTGCGGGAATAACCCGCGTGGATACTGTCTGCAACATTAGATAGCCCAAACCACAGAGCCAAAAGGCCTGGAGTCCCCGGCCCTGGGGAGTCTATATATATATATATGTATATATATATATATATAACTATAGTATACTATACACCAAAACAAAACCCTATCACGTCCAGCGCCGACAGAGCACCCCCTAATCTTTTTTACCAATAAAACACATGCCATGCATGGTTCCTTAACATGGTTCCTTAACTAGGTCCCCAGTAGCCCCTTAATAATAAGAGTACCCTTTTTCCGACTATTTGGAAACAAGGGCAAAAGGGTACTTTGATAAGGGCCCTGCTACCCAGGGCCAGATCATCCCAGATACTCCCCTGACTGCCCTGTGCGCGAGTGGAGGCAGTCCTTGGTGGAGATGCTCCATGAAGTCCAGAGCCTGCTGCCACTGAGAGGCAGTCCTTGATCCATGTTGCCGGTTCAGGATCCCACAAACTTCGCCTTAAAGGATTCTGCTGTCTCGGGTTCTATTGTTGCCTAGGTGCTCGAACGCGGTGAGAAGCGCATTGCACGCCACCGTGTCGGGGCTTCTGTGGGCAGCGAACAGACTGAGCGCCTGCAGGCACAGGTGCTTCAGTCCCAGGTTCAGGGCTTAGGGCAAAAATCCCGGTCCCCAACATAGAGGTCGGTCTGAACAGTGAGCAAGAATATCCTCTGATTTACTTTAATATGTTGAAGAAGCCTACCTGGAGCTCATAAACATCTATAGACTCTTCTAAGGAGCCTTGAAGCGTACCACAGGTCCCAGCCCCTAAACCTTGATCCCTAAGCCCGACAAGCCCTACAGGCCCTGGACCAAAACCTATAAATCCTGTAACCCTATAGAGCCCCAAAACCCTCCTCAACCCCAAACCCAAACCCAAAAAGCCCTAAAAGGCACTAAAAGCCCTGAACCCCAGCCTCCTCCCAGCGGCCGCTGGCACCACAGGAGCTGAGAGCAGCGTTCGTGGCGAAGGCGTCAGCAGCCAGGCGCCGTTGGGGCTGGGATTCAGGGTTTTGGTGTTTCAGGGTTCAGGGTTTTTTTGACACTCACACTCGGACAAGGGTTTAGGGTTGAGGGTGTGTTTAGGGCCTAGGGTTTAGGGTGTGTTTAGGGTTTAGGGGAGTTTCAGGGTGTTTTGATTCGGGATTCTATGCAACTACCGTATCGGGTTCCATAGTCACCTTTCGGCGGCCTTTCTGTCACTTGTCATGGCAGGACACAGGTTTATTGGGATTGCCGTGAACTGCTGTCTCAAGCGGATGTGACAATCGCCGCGTACAGCGCATTTAAAAGGATGAACAGGATAACGATGTCCGGTGCGGAAACCCCAAATAAATCCGAAGCCCTACCGTAAACTTTTATGATTTGACCAGACCGCCATGCTTGCGAGGAGATGGATGGCAATCTCCCACTTCCGCAGCTTCCTGGGCATGGCAGGTAAGTTCCTCAAAGCCGCAACCCAGGAAATGAAGCGCAGTCCATACATCGGGGAGCCTGAATGAAGTTTTTATGCTATGCGCTGAAGACTACGTATACAAAGCTTTCTTATGTGCAGAGCAACCGGTCCAGGGCTGTGGAGTATGCTCTGAAAGGCTCAACAAGATGTGTTGACATCTCTTCCTGTCTGGTTTCACAGCTGACAGCCGCTATTCAACTTCTGGATGTCTACTTAGGAGATCAGCGATACTCATCTGTAGCACGGTAAACGGTGTGACTGTTTGGCGAGGAGCTTCTTTGCTCCAAAACAGAATCAGACATGTAACTCCGTGTTGAAACCAACGGCCGAGTGACTGTAGGTTTAAGGATAGGGTCTATAGGCGTTTTAAGAGTTTTGGGTGGAGGATCTTACAACTATAGCTGGGCTCTCAGCCGCAGGATGTAAGGGACCACTCGGCTTTCTCCACACACTTTTCGTGTCTTGTATGCTGGCATCGTCTTGGTGCTGCTGTAACGGCTTCTCCTTGGGCACGTGCTGCTTTCACCAAGATGCTGCCCCGTCCCAAGCCTTCTGTGCCCGCTTCTTGACATTCTAGGCTTGATGCAGGAGCCTGCATGTCGTCCATGACGCTTCCCTCAAACCCCTACACCCCCGACAAACCCGCAAGCTTCTGGCTTGAACCCCCGCACTCTCATTAACCCAGACCGCATGGGCTTCCGTGCTTCCACGCGTT